CGACTGGCTAATCCTCACTCAACAGTATAACTAGCTAAACATAATAGTTTCAGGATATCATCATAAAGCATTGTCACGACTTAACAATCACGTAATATGACTGATAAAATCGATGAAACTATTAACGAAATCGGTCAACAAATTAACTTATAATTATCATCAAATGGTGTTGTTTTCTCGGCATCTTCACCCATTGCAGATGATTTTCAGTATGTTTCTCTCTCAGTTGCTCATTCAGTAAATATCTCAAATCCTTGTCAGTCTAATTGGAGGTTTATCGATCCAATCATGCATGCAAATAACCAGTGTAAGCAGTCGAACGAATCTCTTGCAAACTGAAAACGTCAGTGTTGAATTTACCCCAACACTGACTAAGATTCAAGCCATTTTAATAGACATGAGTTAGGAGTGTACTCCCCTTGGTTACAACTTATGTACTCCCTGGTAATCACATGAGCATCACTCACTGTTAATTATCTTGTGAAAACTTATTTAACCGAGTACATCTTGCAGCACCACGTCACCTAGTTATGTGGCACATAGGCTTAACTGATCTCAATAACTTATAATCAATATATCTCAATTAAATCGTATCCCGCCTTATGATAAACTGCATACTTGCAACTAATTTGTATGCACCATCAACCGGCAGGTATAAATATAAGTAAATAGTCTATGGCAACGCAGAACATTGAGTCTAGAGCATGTCTCTTACGAATACACTCATGTTTAACGATTAATTCTTATCTATCTGTCCGAAATTCACATAATTATCACTCACGTATTTATTTTTTTTCATAATCATTCATGTGTATTAGTAGTACTACTGAATTCTACCAAGGTCAAGTAAAAATGAGGTTAAGAAAATCTCTTCGTAACTAAATAAACAGTATCAAACTAACTGGAACAATAATTGGAATTCTCTGCGATAATACTTTTTTCTTGCAGATGCGATTGGAAATCAACTCATATGGACAGATTACCGGCATAAACGTTTTTTGACTAAATAATTTAAGCCGAAAATAATACCAGTATTAAAATTTCTATAATATTGATCGTTTTTAATATTTCTAAACGCAAACTACATTTAATACCTATAAGTCCATCTTTAAAACAGACATTTTAAATTTATTTCATGTATTTACCCATCAGGTGCTGCCGCCTTTTTGATTTATTTTTCAGCTGATCAGTACCTACTGGGTTCATATTATTCTTGGTAAACTCCGGCGCCTGACAATCCCACTCAATTTGGTATCGAACCAACGTCACGTTGGTTCTGGTGGGAGAGTAGTGTAGTGACATTGGAATCTAACGACACAAATCTCAATGCTGAACACGAGATAACTGGAAAAACAAATATTCAACACTTAACGTGGGGACATACTAATATCGAAGCAGACCATAATTCTGCAGCAGCACTATTGACAATGTAGACCGTGATTCTATAAACCATATATACTGGTATTTTTTTATCATGCCATTGCACGATTTCGTAACAAATGAGGTCGAGCTCATCCCCCTCAAACCAAACAAGTCTTCACGACCAATAAGGAATACGACTACTCATATCTCGTCTCCGTAGTCACTACTCTGTTTCTCTGGTCATTCTACTGATACATATTCGCGATAACTCGATGCACCTGATTATACCGCGAACGACAACGCACACTGACTTCACATTTTTTGATTATTATGTTGTAGTACAGCAGTCGATGTCATTCATCGGTGTAGTTGCCATTTCATGACTTAAATGGTTTTATCCTGCCAAAAGAAACTCAATCTATGTAATATCAAATCCATTAGTTGCTAATCGACAATATTTATTCTACTGCGGCTTGATGTGACCCGTTGATCTGACTCCATTTAGATTGTACGAATGATTGTTATCACCTATTCTCGTTTATCATCGTCGACTTAAATCGCGTTATCCAATAACGGAATTAAATAAGTCGAATAACGAGAATTGATTTGTGAATACATATATTTTGTACATGAAGCAAATGAAGCACAGCAAAGCAAAAATCACACGTATGGAAGATGGCTGGGAAGCCAACTCCATTTCAAGCCAGGCATTACTCAATATTTATAGTCAGACAAAATAAAAGCTACAGACATGTGATTAATGCGATAAGAAGGGCACGCACATATGCGCTCATATAAAAACAGTCAAGACTGACAAGCGAATAATTGACAAGGTCAAAATATGGCTCAAGTAAAATGAATAAAATAGGATGTCCGGAAGTTAGAATAAGGTATATGGGCTTGCCATAATAACTGACACTACAGGCTCATTAGGATATATTTGGACTTCCCTATTCTTTATCCCTATATTCGGTCAGCGTCACAGGCCAATTTCTGTTTTATCCTATCCCACTTCTTTTCACGATTTATCCCACCTTCTTACACAAACGACTTATTACTCTGTTTTCACGACTTTCCGGGTCAATTATACGATCATGTTGTTTTATCGTCTAGACAGTCATGGAAAATTCATGTCAGTTTTTTCTACACTTATTAAATTGCTCATTATCACCTTCTAATACTTGCATTTTGTGCGGGTGCGGTGTTTGAGCCATCGAAAGACTTCATAAATATTTATTCGACGATCATTACAAGATAGACCTGTTAATACTTCGGACTGTTTGTTAGTGCAACCTTTACCAGTGAGACGTCCAGATCTCATTACGGAATCTCATAGATACCTAGGAAGTATACTCACTGCTATACAGAAAGGCTGGAATGCTAATCTGAAACGTAGATTCCCTGTCTATTTTTCAAAGTGGGATGAACTATCCACTACTTCTGATGGTATTTTGTGTTTGAATGATCGTACTGTTATTCCTCCATCATTGCGTAAATCTGTCACTGAAGACCTTTGAAGTGGACTCCATGGCCAATATCGTCTGAGGCCTGGGAGAGGATTCGTGCTGACTATTGTGGTTCGTTTCTTGGCAAATACTATACACTAGTAGTTATTGATTATTTTTCAAAGTGGCCTGAAGTTTTTTTCACAACTTCACCAAATTCTGATTTCACAATCCAAGCATTAAGAGATGTGTTTAGTCGAGAAGGGGTTCCCATGGTGTTAGTGACCGATAATGGCTCTAATTTTGCTGCAGATGCAGTCACTACCTGGTTGAGTGGTATAGGGTGCAAACATCTGTTTACTGCTCCCAGACACCCTTGTTCTAATGGTCAGGCAGAAAATTTTGTCAGGACATTAAAGACTGCTATTGATTCTATTGCCGCCTCAACATTAAATGAGCTGGAGAGGAGAGTAGATACCTTCCTATTGCAATACAGATATGCCAGACATTCAGTGACGGAGACTCCAGCGAAGCTATTGAAAGGAAGAATTCTTCGGTCGAATATGAGAAGTTTGGAGTTTGCAGAAGTTACATACTATCGAGGAAATGATCTTCGACGATCTACGGGTATAGTTCCGAAGAATGTCGCAAAATTGGTGGTGCGAATTCTAGATATCAATGACTTAAGTACACACAGTCCACATGTTGATCAAATACAATTTCAGAAATCAGGTGAGTCAGTTTTAATTTTGGTTGTTAATTGTAATGCTAATGAACACGTTCTAGGTATTACAGAGTCCTTATCCAATACACTGTCCGACAGACACAGGGTGAACTTGAGAAGACGTACAATTGATTACAGACACTTAGACTCCAATTGAGGCTGTGGCGGATGTGTTGTTTGAACAAACTAATGATTCCTTTGTACTTGTTGAATTCTTGATTTCGAATTCCAAATACAGTACATTCGTTCGTGCTCATCTAGTACTTCTTGATCCGCTTACGTTATTTCTGTGATTCTTAGTTCATACTACAATTCAAATAATTCTAATCATCATACCGGGACTTTACAATATTCATACGCAATATTCACATAAGTATGACATAAACGTATGATGCACACACCCCTCACATGACAATGAAACCTATCAGATAAAGAACAAACTTTTTTCGATACATGTAGTTGACGTTCATCACACACCTCTTTAAGGTTATTTTCGAAACGACATTTTTAAAAATTACGGTGTTATTTTCAACAGGGGAGTTTGCGAGGCTGTCAATACATCAAATTCACATAGGTTATTCTAGCCTCAATTCATTCATTCTTCTCAAGCCACATTTTTACCCTGTCAATCATCCGCTTATCAACCTTGACTTTTTATGTAGGCGTATGTGTGCATTTCTTATTTTACCTATCACATGTCTGTGACTTATTTTTGTCTCACTACAAGTATCAATTCACACTTGGTTAAATCGAGTTGGTTTACATGCCTTCTCCACTGCGCGTCGTTTCGCTTCACTCTCTTCTCTTCGTTTTTCCGATCGTGTGACTGGATCAATGATTGTATGAAATACACGTATTCGAAATCCATTCACATATTTAACTTATTTGATTCTGTTACTCATTAAAGCGATTTAAGTCGATGATTATATATACGATGGCAACTGGGATGTATATCTCAATAATAATCATAATGCAATGTATTCAGTGTTTGATTTCTAGCCACTAAATCCACTGGAACTAAGGTAGCTGAGTGGCTGAACTCTCCTTTTTAAACAAAACTGTAGGCCTGGAAAAGAATCGCAACATCAAGAAGTGACTACAAATAAATCAGTTTACATATATAAAGGTATCCGAAAACTATTGGATATTGAATATGTATAAACAAGTTGTGCTTGTAAATTTGTGTACATTTTGATTTCAAGATCTCAGCTGGTAAGTAGTTTTAGTTGCCTAGACGTCTTAATTTTACGCTTGTATTCTGGTTTTTGTTTTCTGTTGCCTTCATTGTCAAATATTTGTACGTTACATCTTGTTAAGTATTCAACTCACTCTTTTTCTCATTCCGTTTCCCAGATATTGCACACACTGCTCGTCACCCTCCCAACACAAAAGGTACCTAGACACAACCCTACCAAAGTCTGGATGTTACCGTTCATTAGTGTATATGTCTGAAATATCTATTTTTGCAGATGAAAGCCACGAAATCCCTCACATATGCCACCGAAAACACTATTATCTCTCCAACACTGTTGCTGCGAAGTCACTCAAATCCAACCCCTAGTGTATGTGAATGTGGGTCATGTTTTCATGAAGAAATCCCAATTAATGTGTTGCCTAGCAAATTGTTCACTGCTAAACCTGGAAGACTAGTGTCTGCCATCAATACTTTAGTCGAAAGTATCTCTAAGCAAAAAGTTGGCTCCAACGACTCCATCCAATATACTTTTAACAAAATGGGTAAGATGACATCCAGTGCAGCTGGAGACGGACAGTATTGGTGGGACGACTTATTGGTAAGTCGTTTGTTGGTAAATTCCAGTGGTCCAACGCTTGTTTCCTGAGTATTTTGATGGGTCAATCTGATTGTCCAACTCTGCTTGGAGGTTTATGGGTGTATACTTTAGCTACTTAAATGTGCATTTAGCTAGCGAACGTAAGTTGTTGGTAGGAAATATGGTTACGTTAAGACTATAAAATTGGGTTGTATTCCCTCATGTCGAAACATTAACTCGTATCTCCCTTCAGCCAGCAAAACGCTGGGTCGAGTTTTTGGTAGCCACATGATCTAAATATCGAAGATTATTACCACTCCACCTCAGTGTTACGACATCTATGGGAACAACTGTGTATATTCAGGCTAGGCTTGAGAATGGTAAATTAATGTATAGAAATAAAAAAAGCCTCTTGGTGATGTGCAACACTTGATGGAAAATAATCCTAGGATTCGAGGGAGTACAGCAATATACACGGAATATCTTCTATTTAATTAGTGATATACACTTAGTTCATGTGTTTTTATCATTCCTTTTTTCCAGTAAATCCTCTTTAGGTTCTACGGTTTTAAATCTATACTAATCATCCAGAAAGTGGTTACAAATACACAGTTTTGAATTATTACGTGTGAATCTACAAGTTTTTGTGAAACAACACGAAGTTGTTTAGGTAAAAATGAATAAAATTCAATGTCAAATTGAATCAGCTTACATGTTGAGTGAAATTGTGAGATTAACAATTAGAATAAATATGGGTAGGGTGAGAAATAGAAATGCTGTTACAGGTGCGATTGAATGCTTAGTGGAAGTCTATATAATGTATAGTCATATGAATTAAATATGGAACATTGTAGTGGGATGAGTTCTCCGAAAATTGATCGTGATATTAAATCAGTGACAGTAAGATGAGATCGGTTTTCAAACCTCTCGTTATCCTTTGGTATTGGGAAATGGCTTCTAAATAGTACTTTATTCAGCTTTGTTTTTCCTTCTAATATCAAACTCATGCGAAGCCGGTTATGACTTTCTGGTCTCTTCTGTACTGTTTTTTTATTATAATTTCGAGCTTATATTGGCCAGTCATTGATTCATGCTCACCCTATGAACTACCCTCGATGTTTGTTACTTAAGGAATTCGGAAAGTCCTTGCGTTGTGTTTCTGCATACGATAAAGTTTAGTGATTCATTATTAGTTGCCAGTTTCAGTCATTTAAGTTGGTGAACTAATTTGGCTTTGGTGGAGAAACTCCATGAAAAACGGCACAACTACCGGGGCTCAATAGCCGTTTTAGTCTTTCTTTGCCTTACCTGTTGTCCAATTATTGCCGACCATTTGTGTATCACATAACAATGGTTTATTATACCTTATTTATTACTTGAATAAATGTATCGACGTACATTTTTGAGTAATCAAAATGAAATCGACAACATGGCAAGTATTAATAAAGTATAAAAACTATCTCATGGTAGATTTTATTGGGAAAGATGTACTACATAAAGCCTATCAGTATCACAATCCACATCCATGTGCCCACTTAAGATTTAATATATCTGAAATCATATAGAAATCTTGCACAAGATGCAAAATAATTGTATTGCTGAACTTTAAGTTACTCCATCTATTTTTATTTTCTTTGCAGAAGTTTTTACTCGCTTGTTGACTGTTTATTGATGTAGAACATTCTGATAGTTATATTTATTCTGTAATCTAGCTTGTTTTGTGTCATTACTACTACCTCTCGTCAATTTGCTTTAAACAGATTGTATATATTTAAAAATCTTGTATTTTTTGTCTTTTAAAAGTTCGTACAAGGCGAAAAGTCGGAGACCTTAACACCATTTACTCTTATTCTTCGAGCGTTAATCCGCTTCGAAGACCTCTATGCTAATAACCAAAGAAACTGCTTGACTGAAATAATTAATATTTGTCGTTCGTGTAATCATAAGAAAAAACCAGACTATAAATCAACTCGTTTAAAATTTTATATTGGATTGAGTTCATACGTCAACAGTATTGATATGTTTTGTTGGTCTCCTGGTTCACGAGATATTGCCTTTGAATTTGTTCTAGCTTGGAGTACTCTAATCATAAACGAGAGTGGTTTGCAACATATTGGCCGTAGTAACCTTGCTCCAGAATCATTTGGTGTGATTGAGAATTGGGCTGAATATTTATCAACGGGAAAATTAAGTTCAAAATCTTCTAGATTTATTCAAGTAGAACCAGACCATTCTAGCTTCTTTCAGGAGGTATTTGTTGATAGTTATTTTGCTTCGTAAATTATTAGTGTGACTTCGAATTTTCTCTATCATGTTTTGTAGTTAATTATGCTTATTTTTGTCACTTAATTCAAACACAGATATTGTTACAAAGGGGTACCAAATACATATACGCCACACAATAGCAATGAAAATGTGAAGAGATGTTACCGGTGGCAGCAGACCAGTTGAATTGCCCCTTGAAAAACTCCGCCCATCGTCCAAAACATCGGTAGATGCTAAAGATTGGCATCCCACCATCTTCACAGATTGTTTCGCTCACACCAGACTTCTTGCTGCCAGTGTCTCGGATGAGTTGAGAGAGCTTTCGGCAGTTACCAGATGCAGCTGCTACTTCCTACTCATTGACACGCTCCGACCACCAGGCTTCTCGGCCCTTCCACAAGCTTTTCACAATTCCATTACGTAGCAATCTTCGTTTGTGGTCCAACTCACGGTCACCGTGAGTAGACCAACAGGCTTCAATAAGTTGTAAGGAGCCGGAAAAAACCCAATGTTTATAAGCGGGACGTTTCGCGAAGCCGCAAGCGACTTTGCTTGCCCTTTTCATGGCGTCGTGCATTTGCAACCAATGCTCATCTACGCTTTTTTGTGGGATGGTAGCTAGCCTTGAACCTAGCTGGATTCGATATTTAGTTGCAACCAATTTACTGACATTGATCCGTTTAGGACGATGAATTTGTTGGCCACTGAAAATTAAGGTAAGATTAGCGCAAACAAGGGTTTGATCAAAGTCCAGATAGGTACCCCGGAAGGAGCAGTAGTCTTATACACAACTACGCTTGAGATGCAGAGGGAGGATGCCAGATTAAGAGGACTCTCCCCACCCTCGGCCGTATCGGAGCATTTGTCAACAAAACATGATATTGTTTTACAGTATATTTTTCATAAAGATAAAATGTCCCACTTACGACATCATAGGCAAGTGAAGCAGATACTTTCGAATAAATATCGTAGTCATCAAATCATAAATTCTTTTAAAATTTATCAACACTAGTATTCATAAGACTTGAGCTACCATAATCTATTTGTCTAAAATTATTTAATGCCGTTATCTAATTAATAATTTTTAGGGTAATGGCAGACATTAAACTGTTCCATACAGTGTTTGTTTCTCCACCCTGGCAACATATTAATGCCTATGAAATGTAACTTAAAAACTCCTAAACTATATTTGCAAGTTTGGCTAAACTCGGTTTCCAATCTGTAAACTAACGAATAAAAGCCAAAAAACCTGACGAAATATGCTACTGCTGTACTGTATTATGTATATACAGTGTTTATCATCGAGTGCGTTATTGCATAGACCGCGCGCTTGACAGAAGTTGCATACCAGATTTAAACTATTGTCACTTACTTTTGATAGAAAACTTCAGATGTTTACTAATTGAACACAGAGTAAATGCGTAATTTTCTCTTGTCTTTTTTTATTAGCTTGAATTATCTAATGTTTGTGAAAATCCTTTACATCTTACTACTAAAGAGATCGTTATAGCTAAAAATCCTGAAGCAGGAACTACTAAAGATAATCTTCATAGCAATTTCAGGCACAGATCTGTAACTTTAATTATCGATACTGGTGAATTGTGTACTGTAGAAGAAAAAACGATGAATACGAATTCCGATTTGTACAAATTAAGCAAAGTATGGGAATCTGTTGTTGCAAAACAACTAGGAAATGTGAACAATACAATTGTATACAAAATTGGCGAACCACTCGACTCATTGATCTCATCAATTAACAAGTATTGGGTATATAATCGATGTACAATATGTTCAGAAAGCAATTAATATGTATTTTGATTCAGTCTTATTTTGTTATCTATTCAATGTTGAGTGTTTTTCTAACCTTCTTCGACCAAAGTCGACTTGAACAATATCAGTGACTATCTTACTGATGTTAAATATTTTCTTTACTAATCATAAGTTCAGTACATCGTTTTGTACTATGCTATTTATGTATCTAGAGTGTTACATTTCTTATATACACAATACATGTTTTCTTGAATATTATATATATAAGTCGTCTTTTGTAGCTCATTGTATAGGGAAAATAGTGGATGCCTGAACTTTATTGGAAGTTGGCTGGAATATATTGTTGAATTCAGAGGTAATAGTTATCAGGGATCTGTGCCTTTTAGTAGAATTAATTAGACGTATGATCAAAGTCAAGCGTTTGTTGTTGGTGTGAAATCTTTCAAACACTATATTCATGAAAACCACATTTGAATTTACAATATTCGTATGAACGAAGATGTACAACGAGTGGCTTTTTTAAATAATTACAAAACTCCGGTTTTTCTTCTACGAAAAATTTGTTTCAGGCATACCATATCACTGTTATTAAAAACTGCCGATCCTATAATTAATTAAAGCAGGTGAAATGTTCATATAGACGTCTGTTAGCCCATTTCTGGGTGTGACTCTAGAAATTAAATAAATTGGTAACCTGGGGTTCTACATCAGACTGGAATAAACATAATCTGGGTTTTCTATCATTTTACTCATTAAGGTATTGTCGAACTAGGTACGTGTTAACTTGTACATAATATGGAGTGGTGTTCATTTTATTGGCCCTATATCTGAGTACAGTTAGATCGGACAGATGATTGCTGTCAAAATATATCACCCTAGTTGCCATCGTATATGGTTATCGCGTTAATGAGTAACAGAATCAAATAAGTTAAATATGTGAATGGATTTCGAATACGTGTATTTCATACAATCATTGATCCAGTCACACGATCGGAAAAACGAAGAGAAGAGAGTGAAGCGAAACGACGCGCAGTGGAGAAGGCATGTAAACCAACTCGATTTAACCAAGTGTGAATTGATACTTGTAGTGAGACAAAAATAAGTCACAGACATGTGATAGGTAAAATAAGAAATGCACACATACGCCTACATAAAAAGTCAAGGTTGATAAGCGGATGATTGACAGGGTAAAAATGTGGCTTGAGAAGAATGAATGAATTGAGGCTAGAATAACCTATGTGGGCTTAACATAATACCAACATCTCAGTGTAACTTACACTCCATAGGACTAGTGTGGAAATGTTAACATTTAATAAATCAAGTACAGGATAGTGTATATATAATTTATTTAACGAATATACAATGAAGGTTTGCTATATATAATGTACAAAAGTTATTTAACACATGCACAATGAATTATTATGTTTATTAATACGGTACAACTCGACGAGCAGTTGTTTTATAGCTATAACGTCCATCAGTCGACTTGTCAATTCTTGACTCCTTACCAGATTCAGATTTCTCTGCTCTATCTTGAGAAGTTAAATTAACATTGTTTACATGTCGACGATATTTAGAAGACTTTAAATCAGGATTGTTATCATTATTGTTGTTAGAGGGATGTTCATGATATTTTTCACGTGAACGTCGATTACGAATGATAGGATTAGGACGACTAGAGTCTAGTATTAATGAATCGTTTTTAATAAATGGAATATTCGTATCAGTTAAAGGTGGTGTGATAGCAACATCAATCATATCTCCAATTGTAAATTGTACATCCTATTAGTTGAAGTTATTAAAAAAGTGTGGATATTGCAATTTTTGTAAAGATAAAGGATAAGATAAAAACACCACATTTAAATTTATTTACCTAGTAGAAGGAATATGTATTTGCAGCTTTTCATGTTAAAACAACTGAAAATAGGCGGAATGGTATTAGAGACAATATGATCGAATTATCGACAGTTAACTTCCCCCAACAATTAAGTCATCACTTGGTGTCTAAACAAATCGGCTTCTGATGACAGCTTGGATTAAAGTAAGGGGATAGTATCAATAGGCACCGCTAAGATATTTCAAGCGCTAAAGTCATAGCTTCCCACGAAATCCATAGTCCCTTTGCAAGTACTCGAATTCAAGTATTTAATTTCCATCTTTAATAGTCTTCTCAGTGTACTGTAGAAAAAAAAAGCATAGTGGTACGACCAATACATAATTCTTTGTAGGCAATTGAGTCCATCCTCGACATCATATCTTGATCTAACCTACTATTTCTGTTAACCACTATAACTGGAATGAGGCATAAACAACTATAGTCAGTTCTTTACTGAACCTTCGTTTAAGTTATAGATAAAGGACTAATGAAAACGTTAAATTCACTAAGTCGATCGAGTTAGCTTCGTAGAATAGGTCTAGTTGTTGAAGAGAGCTGTTTTTATTATAATAAAAGGAATTATCTGTATACAAAGTCTAATTGTTTTATAACTCTGATCATCATCCCAGTATCCTAATCAAATGCGTACACCTTTTTAACTTCTATTCCATTGAAAAATAGAGCTAGGAAATCTAGTCAATTATCAATACTATTTCAAATGTATTGAGATTAGTCTGGTGCAACTGAGTTGAATTCAAGAATTAAGTGATCAGAGGGTCACAGAAAAGCATAATTATTTTACCAAAAACTAAAATGAAGGGATTGCAAATGGAAATCAGTTCTATGATTTAGAGGCTAACTACAGTATGAATATATTGCCAATAACCGATTATACTTTCTCGATAACGAGGAAACTCTAGACAACCTGACCTATTTACTATTTTACCACAAAATTAAACCAACCCATACTTTTAACATGATACGATCTGTATCGGAAGGAGAACCAGAGCAAACTGTACCCAATTCCCGCATTCTGTACACCGGTGATCGATGGTCCGGGAAAACCAAGGCGAAATCAAATAACGTTCCTCTTCTACGGGATTCTGGATTAACTTGTTTAACAAGAGATGCAAGTTCTCTTAGAGTAGCATCAAACCTTTAAAATTAGACAGAAGTAAGAGAACTCAGATTAAATAGATATATCGGCTTAGAACCTTACCAAGGGCGCATTGTTTTTAGTTGCAAACTTCAATATCACAGAAAAGTTCCAACTTGCGTAATCTAGTTAGTGCACTTGAGTGCCTATTTGACTTTTATCCTTACTGACTTCTGGAACCAGAAGTCTTACCGTTTATCAAATTCTCGGCTTTCGAAATAATCAGAAGACTGGTATTATTAATGGATCTAAATTCCTGATGGATAATAAACTGGAGTTTTATTGCAGGTCAATACAACTATTTAGTGGAATATTCAGCCAAACATCTCAACAATGTGCTGCAGATACAAAGACCAATAACCTTGCTTATTACTGCTTTTTCCTATGAGCCTTATATGATACCAACGAAATCCCCACCTATTTTACTTTGGATGTGAAAATCCTGATAACAGCTATACAGCAAACATTTAGTTAACTTGAGTTCTTACGATTATTTGAAAAGAACTTTGTGCATCAATTGATTGTCAGAGAAATCTAATCGCTGATTGTTATTTCTTTTACTTTTCCAACAATGAGAACATTTCTTCGACATAAATTGAATCACATTTGTGCTCTTTGGTCAACTATTAGAAAATACAAATTAAATGCCCTGACTGCTATGTGGAAGAGTTTTTCAATGTCAGGCGAGAAAATATCTGTCCAAAGTTACGACTAGGCACGATCAAATGTCTATCAGAGGAACGTTATTGTTAGTCGACCGGTAAGTATTTTTTAAAGGTATTTGAGTGGACTTGAGTTTAGTGCAGTATGAGATTACGAGTATTCTAACCAGAGTCCCGACAATACTTTCGTATAGTTTCGCATACATATTTGGTGCCCTCTTGTACCATTATTTATGTGTTCAAATAAAATAAATAAAGGGTGGATGAAACGGTCAACAAGGTCAAATAATACTTCATCGTGGTATTTAAGTCATATTAAGTGGAAAGATTTAGGTATCCAAAGATAGTCGATGGTCAAGTGTTACAATCACAGTCAAACTTTTAGCTTGAGGAGAAACTATTATCACTTTTGCCAAACAACTGAAGCTGGAATTTTAAAATGAGTAATCAGAACCTTTATTAATGAAGGTTTCCCATAAGCGGATGGAAGTTATCGGTGACCAATATTTAACATATTGCGCCCCTATCGTTTTCAGAATATTCAGTTTTAGGGACGTAAGGCTTTCAACAGTACAAACTTATTATCAGGTCTGGATACACTTTCGAAACAAGCTTGATAGACTGAGAATAACATTTAAGTGAGTAACGGATATATTGTTTGTAGTCATATCCACCCCATAAGATAAAATACACGCGTAGGATTGTGTTGTTGGTTATTATTCGACCATGAGAAGCCATTCTTGGTATATTTAACTATGGTCCTAATTTGATGAAGACGTTACAACATATTAAAGCAAAGTACAAATATGTAGTCATCGAACCGTGTGACATGTAAAACTCGGCAGAGCATGTCAAGTAAAGGGACCTGAGTAATGGTCTTAAAATTTTGTCATGGTAAACAAGAGGAAATAACCAAAACGTTTACGTCAGTTGAAACCATAAAATAATGTAAAACCTCATCAGTGTATAACGACGAGTAACCAAACAATATCCCATTACCAGGCTATTTTACTGGAAAACACTCACCACGTATATACTTGTAGTTCATTTATTGGGGTACGACCTCTAGAATACTCCAAGACGTTATTATGTTTCTTTGTGCTGCAAAACATTCTTAGCAATAGTGGACATGTCTTTTCGCGATTAACACTGCTATCATCTGACACCGTCATTCTAGTAGGTCAAAAAAACCTATTTAACATTAACCTGGAGAGCAAGTATATTCCAGTTGGCTCCTTGACGATTGTTCGACAATGTTAGGCAACGACTTCAAATTTTTGGAGTTGTTTTCTGTGGTGTGCTACTCAACAAGACAGCAGGGATATTTTTGGTAAGTTACCAGAAGAAGTAAATATATGGAGAAGTCAGCGTCTAGCTCGAAGGTACGCTGTTTGCAGATGTGAGTGTGAGGAAATCTGGATGAGAAAGAATCAAGAAAAAAAGTTCAATCGATAACTTATTAGGGACATAGAATACAACTACAATATATAATGAAGCAGCAATAAAACAAGCGTAAAATCAACACAATCTGAAAACCGTAACCGAGAGTAAATCAAACCGTTTGGATGCGCAACAGTATGGTTTGTCCAGCCGCTCAGCCGCAACAGTCCAAAATCCAATACCTTCAGTGTCATTAAAAAATAAGATTTCAAATTTTCCTCCATAAGATTCTGTGTTTTTTGTATTTTTATATTTAACACGCATAAGTGCGCTCTCCTTCTTTATAACTTATTTATATGAGCACTTTATTAAAATAGTCTATCATATTTCTCATGTATTACCCGTAGTTCACTGGAGCCAGAAGATATTTATCTCCTTAGTGTTTTTATGTGCTGTGACATTGGTTGCACTACTGAAAGTTTGGTACTACTATTTTTTATCGAACTGTTCGCTTGTTCAGATGTTTAATCGCACCAGGATCAAAAGCAATGTCAGGTTTTTATATTCTCTTGATTCTAAAGGTCCCACAGAAATTCAGGTTTTGACGACACTTCAGTCTGTAAAAAATTTATAATCGGAAGATATGTAGTGTTTGTATGAACTAATGGTTCTTTTGTACTTGATGTATGTTTGATTTCGAATTCCAAATACAATACGTTCGTTTGTGACCATCTATTTCCCTTCGGTCTAAGTTGCTCTATCTCAATGATTCGAAGTTGGTATAATAGTTCAAATACTTCTAGTCATCATAGGATACCAACCTAGTCAAATCAGAAGTTAGGGATGAATGCGTTCAAAGATATATCCGGAAGGTTATTCACATGCTAAGAAGTGGTTGATCGAAGCTGTCTGGTGGTTGTAATGCTGCGTAATTACTCGTGATCTGGTGCAGATGTGTGGCAGAGCAACTTCAGCTAGGTGTATCAGGTTAAACTTATGAGATCAGCATCAGTGTTGGAGACTTACAGGATTATTTATTGTGGGAATTTTTGTACCGACAGAGCTCACTGCCTGTTTGTGTGGTGATGACTCTGTCACATGGCCAGTCAGAATTTTAAAACCAACAGTCTTGCCGTTGAACGCTTCTGAAAGATTTGCATGTCCAGGAGCATCTGGTCGTATTTCATTAATATAAGCGGACATATGGCACAACATAAAACAGAAACTGTAGAACGAAAATTTTTACTCATCCTATTCTTCGTCGGTCTTCTATTCATTCCGGTCGCCCCGGAAAAGAAAACGAGTGAAAATGTAGGTGCTTGTCTAAACCCCGAAACCTGAATAAGGAAGCAAATTATACGGGAAGTCCTGGTATGTAAGCCTATATATACCATGCATTGGAGTGAAGAATTCGGTACAAAGAAATTTTTTGGTTTTTTTAAATAGATAATACACAAGTAGTGGCATTACTTCCTAACCACACAATCTTTGAAGAGATGCATATAATTGCTTAAAAAAATGGGTTTCAACATGCGACACTGAGAGAAGATCAACAATGACTGACGTGGCAACAATCAGTCGAAATTGTGCGGCTCGTCCATGTAGGCGCGGTTACATGACCCCCCATTATTGTGTCAAATATATCACCGTCTTCCCAGCTCAAATGTGTTCTTCAGAAATGCTAGACGTCATATTGCTGATTATCACGACGAGTCAGTGTAGACAATGGTGTAAATTCAACGAAAAATTTTATAGAGTAGATGGTCACATCATGATATACCCACAGTTTCGCGATTATTTTTATTATAATAGTAGTACTAGTACGGAAGTAGACAATAATTCTACATAAATACAATAGCAAAAAATGACATTTTGACACATTAATTTGCTGATAACAACTCTTTGAACTCAATAATCATATTCGTATGATCGGATTAAAAAGCAATATTACATTCTTTTACTCACAGCAATTCTTGTTCAACACTACTTCCTTTTTAATTCAATGCGATGATTACTCAGTGCACAATGCATATTGTTTTCCAGTGTGATATTTTGTTCGGCATGACATTAATCTATTTGAGTGAGATGTTCGTTCAAGATTCGAAATACTTGCATCAAATTAACGTGAACTATGCTCAGTATGACAGGCAGAATACGTTTTGTTATAACTTCGTGCATTTTTAATCGATGTGACTTTATTCTTATTAATAATGAAAATGGATGTACAATCAATGTACAAATGAGTGTATTTTCGACTTGTATTCCCAATCGACCGGCAAGTATAAATATAAATATATAGTCTGTCACAGAACATTGAGTCCAGAGCATGTCTCTTACGAATACACTCATGTTTAACGATTTGTTCCTAGCTATCTTTCCAAAATCCATATAATTATCACTCATGTATTTAAATTTTATTTTGATAACCATTCGTGTGTATTAGTAGTATTACTAAATTCTATCACGGTCAAGTAAAAATGAGGTTGAGAAAATCTCCCCGTAACTAAATAAACCGTATCAAACTAACAGGAACACTAGTTGGAATTCTTCTCCACGTTATTACTTTTATTCTTTCAGTTAGTCTACTAATACAGATGCAATTGGAAACCACATATGGACAGGTTACCGGCAAAATTGTAAATTGATTTCATAATTTAAACCAAAACTAATACCAATATTAACATTTCTACAATATTCATTACTTTAATATTTCTAAACACAAAATACTTACTACATATACGTAAAGTTATTAACCAACGGCTATTAACACGCATCATACGTTTTATTATTATTATTGCAATCTCATTTTTTATAGCCCAAATAATCTTCACCCAAATTTTCATTTTAAGTGTGTTAAGCATGAAAGCAGATGCTTTAAGATTATTACATGTATTTTCCGACCAGATGCTGCCCCCTTTTTGATTTGTCTTTCAGCCTGTTAATACCCGGAGGATCCTTTTTAATCTTGGTAACCTCTGGCGCGCGACGATCCCATCCAATTTGGTATCGAACCAACATCACGTTGATTCTGGTGGGAGAGTAGTGTAGTGGCATTGGACCATAACCACACAATCCTCAAAGCTGGACACGAGACAACTCGGGAAATAGATATTCACTATTTAACGCTGAGAAATACCTAACGATGGAAAAGGCGGGAGGAGCGTATTGAATGAATTGGAGTTGATCGAGTGGCATCGCTCGGCCATGCAGGCGTGGTCTCTGCCGAATGCTACCTTATATCTTCTATTCATATTAAATATATTGTGCTTTCTCTAGCCTAACCTTGTTCTACATCATGTATTGGTAATTGATACGATACAGTGAGTTGGTGTAGTCGATGGTGTGACTTCCACATAAGATCTTATAGATTAGGCAGTTATAGCATGACAAATCTAGAAATTTAGGATTAGGTCTGTTATTAGAGCAGTACTAATATCATAGTAGACCATAGTTCTACGTTTCCATACCTCAAAATACTTCTTTTTTGTGAATTTCACCAGATAACCCAGCGGCCGGATTTCTGGGCTTGTCCAATAAGTGCTCTGTAATTTTAGTGTTTAAGAAATTGAAATACATAGTCATCTAATGCACTGGTACGTCGAACAAAAATGAATCCAGAGTCAGTATTGTAGAACAACGCATTTTTAGAGCTGATTGGGCACATGAATTAACAGATATAACCATGAAAAGTTGTGATACTTGATTAAAAAATATATTAGAACGAGGATTGGAAACACTGACCTGGAAAATATTTCGCCCATCTAGAACGATATTCAACATGAAGCTAGTTAAGAGATTTGGTTTTTTTTCTGCTTGTTTCCTGATGTCACGATGTAGTGTTGGTTCCTTAGTATTGTCCAATGTGGGTGGGTTATATATTACGTTAATCATGCTAAATATGATGTTCATTCGAGAGATAAAATTCCTCAAGCATTAAACAGCGCATTTGTACTCCGAAATGAGGTTACGAGAACCAACATTAACGACATCATTAAACATGGAACTGATGGATTTCAACACGGGTAATTTTAAACTTATAATGTAGAAGTGTGAAGAGAGCATAAGAGTCAGAGTAATTACATTTACCGACCAGGCAAACAACGTGAATAAATATAAAAAGATGGATAAAAGGTAGATGGCGGAGATAATAAAGGAAATGCGTAGAGGTCGGCAGATTATTGCGGTAAATATAGGAATAGTAATGACAATAATGATCAGATAAGAGACATATATCAATTATGGTTTACTTAGGGATGAATAGTTAGCCATGAGTGAGCCTGTGGTTGACCAACGGTCAAATGGTGAATAGCATTTTGGAAGCCATAACTTATCATGTTTCCTATCAACAAACGATTTAAGATGTCCAAGATTCTTCATGATATCCAACCAATAATTTTCTAACCTTAGAACTAACATAGTAACAATCGTTTTGATCGGTGAATAATATTCGCGTAATGTAGAAACTGGGCATTTTCTATCAATCTATAATACGATATATATATATATATATATATATATATATATATAATAGTCTCATAACCCTAATGACAACCATCAGTGTTGTTAGGTGCTATAAGACACATGTAATATCTGTTGATACTGTAGAAAATATGGTGACTGGGTTACTAAATGAACCATTCCCTATTAGCTTGAAGCCTAAAATCTTCTGGTAGATATGTACGTAGAGTTCAGTGTCATTTTGTTATGTCCCGATAAGAATAATGAGTGATAACTTTTGGTATAGACGATGTGTGTTATGCGATTTTAGTTACCAGTAGTTTGTTTACATGAAATTCATTTGAGGAAATCAGCAAGGTCTCTTTTGCTTTTCTGATTATCTGCATGTGGAAACTAAATATGTAGGAGTTAGCAATATATATCTATTTCGCCTCCGATGGATGATTAATGAACCTCAACTAGTTCCGTTTGCCCTTCCGCGTGGTCATATTAAATTTATAATGGTCGTTGGAGCACATTTTCTAGTGCTCTTAATTCCGATATTGATGTCACTTACCGATAGGTTAGGGAACTTGAAAGGTTATAGGGATAACACTGAAACTTAGCCAGGCTGTCCTCTAATGCGAATGTATTTCTAGCTTAGTAACGTGGTGACTGGAAGTTGGCTGATTGATAGAAACGTGAGGACCTTAGGTCGATGTGAGGTCAAAGGTGCTTGGTTAATGAGTAACTGACGTTGTTCATTTCCCTTATCCTTATTTCAGACGTCCCAAGCTTGTGGTAGGTTTCCTTTCGTTTTCCGATAACTTCACTGATATATAACCGTTTACACAGTGTACTAAACGTTTTCAGCAAGTTAGTTACAGAAATTCT